ATGAGCGCTTCTCCCCAATAGGGCAATGACATATGCGCTTCAATTAAAACAGCTCGAACAACTTCTAGTAAATAACAATTTTTTCGCTCTGAAACTCCGTTTTGTTGAGGGGTATTAGCACAAGTTGTTTGGTTAATAATTCCTTGCACTTCTAAAAATTGTTGAATTTCATAACTTTGATACTCCCCTCCATTATCACTTCGCAGAACCTGAATATGTCCATTATACTGAGTTTTGACTATTTTATGAAATTTCTGAAATAACAAGTTTACTTCACTTTTAGACTTCATTAACCACAACCAAGTCATCCGAGTACAGTCATCAATAAAAGTAACAAACCAACGTGAACCTCCTAAGGTTGGAATTTTGGATAGATCCCATACATCAGAGTAAACAACCATAAACGAGAAAGGACTTTCATTTAATCTTAATGGAAATGAATTTTGATGACTTTTTGCAAGTGCACATACATCACAACAGAATTTAGAAAGATCAACATGTTCAAACAAACTAGGGCATAATCTTTTAAGGTGCCCAACAGATGGATACCCCAACCTTCGATGCCAGAGCCAAATTTTAGATTCATTTTTCTTCTCTTTACTGCCTTCTACTGCCAAAACTTCATGCAACTTGTTAGAGCTTTTCGATGTCAAGTCCAAGTAGTACAATTTTTCTCGCCTAACACCACAACCAATCATTTACTTTGTTTGGATGTCCTTAAGCACACAAGAGTCAGGCCAAAAAATGACAATACAAGATAATGCTTTGGTTATTTGAGAAACAGATAAGAGGTTATAATCCAAAGATGGAACAATCAACACAGACTCAAGGTTTAAAGTGTTAGTGAGTGATAAAGAACCTTCCCCAATAACTGAGGATTCATTACCATCAACAGTAAAAATATTTTTTTGTGTGAAAAGGTTCTAAGATTTGTAATCTGTCTTGAATCAAACATCACATGATCCGAAGCACCAGAATCAATTATCCACGCATTATTAAAAACAGCTGCAAAAACATTTAAAGCCTTACCATGAGTGTCAGTAGTTGTAATCAACACCGAACCTGCTTCAGTAGTATCATCATTAGTTTCAGCAACAGTAGTAATTGATTTCTTGGGGTTCTTTATCTGAGATGCTCTACTATGATCCCACCATTCTAGGTATCCCACAAGTTCATAGCAACGCTCCTTTGTATGTCCAGTCTGATCGCAATGCGTATATTTGTATTTAGATTTTTCAGTACCTTTGGTGGTCTTGGGTTGACGTTGAGTCATCATTACTTCAACGTCAATGTTTCCAATCTCGATGTTCAATGTCACACGACGTACTGCTTCTCGTCGAATTAATGAATAACAGTCTTTTAAACCTGGAACTGGCTCTTTGCACAAAATTTTCCCACGAACTTGTTCAAAATCGTTGTCCAAGCCAACGAGAAATATATGCACTCATAATCATTTAATGGATTTTTGATATGTTATTACATCATCAGGATCTTTCATGACCACTTTATCTCAGTGGTCCAATTCTCAAAAAATCTCAACTAGTTCTCTATAGTATGCAGAGAGAGATTTTCCATTTTGTTTGGATGTGAAAGCCTTTTGGTTCAAGGAAAATACTTGTAATTCATCATTTCCATCATAAAAAGCTTTTGATAATGCAATCAGTATCTCACGAGCAGTAGGTAGACGTAAATATCTTTTCATGATTTCAGGCTTCACGGACATCAATAACCATCATTTCACTTTTTGGTTTTCAGCGTACCATTTTTCATATCCATCGTCAAACTCGGCTGATTGTTTCATCTTGCCACGAATGTAAGAGAGTTTTTCTCTTTCAGCAATATGCATCTCCATTAGCTGAGACCAAACATCATAGTTCAATTCGTCAAGAATTATTCCTGCATTGAAATCACCTTCAGATTGCACAATTACAGGAATTGATTTATTTCCAGATGATGCAACACCTTTCTCATTCTCTTTTTTTTTTTTTTTTTGTTTCCGAATTTAAAGGGTTTGGCTCTGATACCAACTTGAAAATAGAAAGGTTTTGTTTATTTCAAAAAATATATCATTCAACCAGCATACAAAGAGAATTTATAATACAATAATAAAGAGACTAATTAGCTATAAACTAAATAAGAAAAGATTTACAATAACTGTACAATCTCTAATATAAGAAAAAAAGAAAGATGGAAGGAGAGAGAGATTTGAGAAGAGAAAATCTCAAAAAAAATCTTGTCTGAATTATTATTTTTTTGAAACGGAAAGGGGTTTGTCGTTTTGAGGCAAGGAAATAGAGTGAGATGAGATACTCTTTTTAATTATTTAAATCCTTAGCCTTGTGATTACAGGTTTTATAAGAATCCTTCAAAGTAATGCACAGCACAAGAACCACCCTCAAACCCCAAGAATACTATTCAATGAGTTATGGATACGTTTAATTTGTTTATTTGTAATTGTAATTCAATTAATGATATCAACAGTTGCCAACATTCTCACCAAGAAAAACCCAACTGGTTTTGTAAGTAATTGGAAGCAATTGCAGAACCCAAGATGTCAATGTAGTGTTGGAAGGGAACACACGCACTACACACTACAATTAAGGCCTAAGTTTACTTGTCTTTCATATATTCAAATATATATATATATATATATATATGTATGCGCGCAAAGATGCAGGTTTTCTATGAAAGAATATATTTTTTTGGAGTTAATTTTGAGAAAGTAATGAAGTAAATATGGTGAGACCAACATGTCCCCTTAGATAACGATGGGGGTTGTGCGATGAAACGGGGTCTGGCCGTAGACGGTACGGCCCTCACATGGCTTTGTTAGGAGATTGCAACAAACACCCTCTCACTCTCACTCTCACTCTCACTCTCACCTCATTATTTCTTAAATTTAATATTAATTTATTTCATTTATTTTATATGCTTAATCAAAATTTTCCCCAATTATTTACAAAATTACAATAAATTATTTTCAACTGACAATAATCACTCCCTTAATATCATATATATATATATATATATATATATTGTCATCAGGATTTTGAGTTTTGGACAAAATCAACAATGACTCAATATTGTACTTGTCTTAAAAGGCAAATTTATCATGCCCATATTTACATGCCTTTGCATAATAAGCCCACTCAGTGATATACGTGCATGCCGGCCCGTCAACTTTCCAAATTACTACCATTCAAGTCGTTGACGTGGAGGTATCCTTTCTTCCAATTTACACTAAACCATTTCCATCCCAATGAACACACACACACACACATATATATATTGGAGGCATACATTCACATATAGATACACAGATCAAGAAAGTTTTGCATACACATGTGCAAGATATGGAGAAAACATATATGTTAGGCAATTTTCCCCCATATATATATATGTGTACATGATGAATATATGTATGATGTTGAAGAAATTAAAGAGAGAGAAATATTTTATTTTGGTAAGCTTTAAATGTTGGTGTCTCCATCCGCTTGTTTTTGTTGATATCTAATTGGATATCAACTCAAAACTCAAAAGCATGACTTTATATATATATATATATATGTGTGTGTGTATAAACTCCAGATATGCCTCTTTTGGACTCTCTAATTTCTGTCGTGGCCCTTTATTTCACACCATCTATTATTAACACATACGGTCCCTCTCACTCTCTATTCTCTCTCTCGTCCCATCACAATTTTCCTTTTTATATTTCCATTTCTTTTCGTATATATACTATATAAATATATATACACCACGTATGTATACCAATATTCAAAGATAAAGACGTTTATAAATTCTCAGAACTAATATAAATACCCGTAAACAAGATGTAACACATCATTGGTAGAATTTCAAAGAATAAAAATAATGCAACTTATTATTTTATAGTTATGGATATATCTAGGTATTTATTGATGGGAGAAGCTTGGCGCTAAAATCTAATTGTGGTAGGGTTAATCTGAGCGGTCGTGGCTCTCTTTACATTAATGAAATTGAATGATCCGAAAAGGTAGTGACAACAAAGACCGCTTGATCATTATCGGACGGACCATATGGCACATGCGGATCCATAAATATAATACGACAAGGCATATGTATTCATGCATGGATGTACGCATGCAATCAGATCCGACTCGGCATCGTATTATGTATGACATGGACAGCTTGGCTATTTTAAGTTGATCACCATACGTGGAAAATGCAGAGGTGGGGGTCCATGTTCATATGGATGCCCATAACGCCATCATGTGGTGGCGCTGGCATTGAATTTGCTGGGTCTATTATTGCAGGTGAGGGACGTTATGTTATATGAGGTTTATATTACCCATGGATATAAAATCATGTTTGGTATTTTCAAAAATTATATGTATATGGAAATATTTAACTACGGACTGAAACATCAGAGAAAATATTCATACTTTATAATTAGTGGAACAAAAAACTATATAACATATATATGATCAGTTTTTAGATATGCAGAGATAATTCTGCGGCTGATAATATTGGAGGATGCAGCAAAGTCTCTGTCGTCGTGTGTCCCTACAGTTGGAAGTTTGAATATGGGAAAGTGGAAAATTTAGTGGAACAATAGAATCTGATCATATATATCAATCATTATTATTCATATATATATATATATATATATGCAAGGAAATTGATTCAAATTCTCAGTACCTTACTGGTACAAAACCTTATTGAGCGGCACACTCGATTTGTCAATCTCATGTAGTGAATATCGCATCGGGTCACCCTTCATAATTATGTACAAATTTATACATACATATATATATATACACCATAACGGTTTAACAGGTACTTCACCGTGTCTTCATTTATCAAAATGGGTGATGATTTATAACAAGTAGGTGGTGCTGCTATATCTATATAAATGAGACAGATACATATAAGTAGATGCATATATATATATATATGTATATTAATACCTTTCTTGAAGTATATATGTGTACGTTAGTGTTATAAATTACATAACTGGACTTAATTCTTTTTACAATGTATTACAATTAGAGAGGTCAAGAGGCTAATAAAATGACTACAGAGGTCAAGAGATGAATCATTTGATTATCCTGTGTGTGAGTGTGTGTGTGTATATATGTATATATATCAAATATATGTATATATGACCATATGTATTATCTCAATCAATTATTTGGTTGAAGAGAGAAAAGAGAAATTGAAAAGGTAATAAAGCAAGAAAGACTGCAATGTGGGAAGGCAAAGTTGAAAACTAGTGTTATAAGAGTGTTACAACTTGTTAATGGACCACAGCGATGCATATATCACATCATAATATATATCATGAAAGATTTGTAAATTATGTGTGTCAAAATGATGAATGGATGGACCACACAGACATAAATATATATATTTATATATATATATATATATGTTGATTGTTTTAGTAAAACTAGTTAATTTTTTATCATCTTAATTTACTGCAGTAAAAGAATATATGCCCACCTACTTAATTCCCATTAAGCATTATTAAGAAGTAATTAGGTACCAAAACATGTATTTCTATCAACATATACGAGAGTTTATGTTGGAATCTCATGGGTAATAGAAAATGAGGAAGAGGTGTAAAATGATGGACACTGGGAATTAAGTAGGTGGGCATGGAAATCAGCAGGCGACGAAGAAGAAAAAGAAGAACATATGGTGGTGTGGTTGTGTGCGTGGCTTCATTCACCCTTAAGTTCAATAATACTCTTCAAATTAAGAGTAACCTAATAAATAAATAAAAAATTAAAAAAAAAAAAAGCGAATATAAATATAATACAAAATTAAAGTGATGATGATTAACACGGTTGACCATATGTAATGGAGGTAAAAGTTTGGAGAAATACCCAACTCACGTACTGGATAAGGTGTATATTTATATTTGGGCACAAGTGGAGGTTGGAGCAAAAGCAATGAAGGAGAAGGCGTGGGAGAGAAGATTGATGGAGAAAGGCGAGACAAGTGTAGGGTGAACGAGGAACATGAGGGAGAGAGATGGAGCATCAACATTACTGGGCTAAAACTTCTGAATGTTTAGGCCCTTAATATCCCCAGCCTACTACCTCCATACAAACTCTGGATCTTCCCAATAGCCCGATAATGGTGTATGTTCCTATCAATGCTTATAAAAAGTATGGGCTTTCCTTTACCATCCCATATCTTTTATTTCTTTTCGGGGACTTCATATTTTTTAGTTCAAATTGTAACAAGAAAGAATATTATAGATGATTTGATAATTTAGTTTAAATGGTAAATTCATTACAAAGAATGACATAAACTGAATCATGTTACTGTACTTGTTAATTCTCATCCCTTTTACACAACAAACAAGGTATAGAGTTAAATATAGGAAATCCAAATCCTTTTAATCCGGATAATTCTCGTTTTTTTTTTTTTTAACTCCGATAATCATTCTTATAATCAACCACCCACACCCATCATTTTATTACTTTTAGTTTAATCCTTGTAAATTATAATTTCTTCCGACACACAGTTCTATTGGTAAATTGAAGATGAGTCATCAAGATTACGAAGTTTCGAAGGTAGAAGAAGGCGAAGCATGCAGCCGATCCTCTTCCAGAATACCCGAATCTTCATCTACTTCTTGGGTGGTGGAGCTTTTGCAAAAGGTCTTTAAAACTTATATAATTATCTTCTCCCAACCTCTTTGACTACTCCATACAATTCATATGCATAGACAATTATAATAACGATGAAGATGCATGGTGCAGGTAATCGCAGAGGTGTTGGGGACGTACTTTGTGATGTTTTCAGGGTGCGGTTCCGTCGTCGTAAATAAGATATACGGTTCCGTCACGTTTCCAGGTATTTGTGTTGTATGGGGCTTGATTGTAATGGTGATGGTCTACTCTGTCGGTCACATTTCCGGTGCTCATTTCAACCCTGCTGTCACCATAACATTTGCCATCTTTCGACGTTTCCCTTTCAAACAGGTCGGCCACCTTTCCGCATTCTCATCTCTTTTGTTATTATTATTATTAATTGATTAATTATATATATATATATATGTGTGTGTGTGTTCGTGCACGCAGGTGCCTCTATATATCCTTGCGCAGTTGTTAGGTGCAATTTTGGCGAGCTACACGTTGTGGATTATTTTCCACGTGAATGAAGAAAGTTTTTTTGGAACGGTGCCGGTCGGGTCTGATCTTCAATCTTTATGGATTGAGATTATTATCTCATTCATCTTGATGTTCGTCATTTCTGGAGTCGCAACCGATAATAGAGCTGTCTGTACCTATAACTAACTATCTAATTACCATTTTCTAAGTTTTTATATACTGACGATTTAATCTGTGGCAGATTGGAGAACTGGCAGGAATTGCGGTTGGAATGACAATCATTCTAAACGTGTTTGTTGCCGGGTAAACCCATCATTTGAATTAATCCTGATTAAATCAATGTTCAAACGAATGATTAATAAATTAGTTGATTAATTAAGCGCAGGCCAGTGTCTGGGGCATCGATGAATCCAGCAAGGAGCATCGCTCCGGCAATCGTCATGCACGTTTACAAGGGACTGTGGGTTTACATTGTCGGCCCACCGATCGGCACCATCCTTGGAGGCGCTGCCTACAACTTGATCAGATTCACCGACAAGCCTCTCCGCGAAATTACGAGGACTGGATCCTTCCTCAAAAGCATTTCCAGACGTAACTGATTCCTTCTTCTTTTTTAAAAAATTACTCCTTACAAAAACACCAGTCATTTGGTTGACAAATCTTGTAAAATTCCACACAACTTTAATTCGAAATGGGAAAAAGAAAAGAAACAATTTCTTATGTGGGTGTGTTTGATCTCGCAACTCTACTTCCTCTTCTTGTCTTCTTCAACTACTTGTTGTATAATAATTGACTGTCAATCTCCTACCAAACATTTTTTGCGTTACATCTCACATGGGTTAGGTATGAGATGGGATGGGATGGGATGGGATGGGATGACTTGTATTTGTATAGTTGCATATATAATTTTTTTCCCCTAATCCAACTCTTGCTCCATAAATTCAACGTAATCATTCCTCTACCCCGTCGCAGTTCATAACTACATTAATGGACTCTCTCTCGGACGGTCCTCTACCTCGATCATTGCATTCTATGGATCCGGATATATGCAGAGCTTCACGAATTTCAGGGTCCCACTTAAGCAAATGGAAATCCAATATTTGATTTTACGTTCCACTCTCCAATTTTTTTTTTCTTTTTCTTTTTAAATGAATAAATAAAATTACTTTTACTTCAAATATAACAATTTGGCAGGCAGGTAATTATGTAAATTCTCGTCTTTTACTGTTTTTATTTTTTTTCTCTTTTGACTTTTCTCTCCATAAATGCTATTATTCCTCTTCCCAAATGATCAACTTAGCTTACATGGCCCACATCATCCAAAAATATTTATTATTTCTAAAACTAACTTATATATATATATATATATATGGATGTATGTGGTTTAATATAAATATTACTTTATAGCCATATTAATTAAAAAAAAAAAGAGAAAATTATGATTTTTGAGCTTAATTTAATTATTTTTTAATTTAAATAGTTTAATCGTAATATATTTAATTATGATTCAATGAATATAATATATTCATTACACGTGATTAATTTAGATATTTATGTACTACCAAATTAATTACATAATCAATTGTATATTAAGTTTAATTTGTATATAATTGATTTATTAATATATACGTACTATATTATTCTTTGATTACTATTTATTAAAATAATTTTTTTTTAGTTAATACTTATTTTAGCTTATATCATATTTTTATTTTCAAAAAATCAAATATATGATTACTAATACATACATTATTTATAATGTTTTTATTTATTATATCAAATATTGTCGTTAATACTATTTCAATAAATACAGAATAAATACTATACAAACTAATAATAATTAACTTATACTTTGATATTCATCAAACATAATTTTTTTTAAAATAATTTTTACTGTACATTTTTATATCATTTATCTAAAAAATTTAAAGGTAAAAAAATATTTAATATGATTAAATTATTTTAATAAAAATTATGTAATGTATGTCAGAAATCTAATATTATATATACTTATAAAACTTTTAAGGTTTTTTTAATTAAAATTTTGAATTTAAAAAAATATTTATTTTGTGTAAAACCAGGGAGACATGAACAAATTAATGTCAACGTTAACCAATAAGAAACAATTTCAACGAACCCTACCACTAATCCTCCGTTTCGTCGCGACGACAATCGCCGTTAAAATTTCCAAATCATGACCGCTAATCTACCCAATCCCCGTGCTCTTCGACGATCGTGATTAACGGCGAGATCACAGTGATGCGTGCACTGTGTCCCCGATCACAAGAAGACAAAAAAAAAACAACCATCACATGATATGATTTATGAACTTTTTAAGCTCCTCATTAGATTCACAAGTTTCCCCTGCACACCCCCACAATACACTGCAAGTACACATTTCACAAAGAACGAGAGAGAGAGAGAGACAGAGAGACAGAGCAATGTAGTCATTGTAGGAAAGAACTTATTAACAATTCGATACACACAGATTGCTTTGCTCTTCGGTGTTGTTTACTTTTGCTTCTGCTTACACATACGCGTGGTTTTTATTCCTTCTGTTAAGTGTTGATTGCTCTATCGCAAGCTTCCTATGCGCGTTCGATTTAATAGATCTGTAAGTTTGTATTCGGTGGCGAGTATCGGCAAATTGATACTTGAAAATTCAGGGCAGTTTTTGGTGTGATGAGCGGTTTTTCTTTGCGGTTACATGATAAACGCGCATTTAAGGTGTGCATTTACTTTCCATTTTGTAGTGTTTATCATTTCACGTTCTCGACCAAGTTAAGTTTGTTTGATTTTGTCATTCTTGTTTGGGAATTTGTTTTGATTTGTAACGTGGATGCTCATTAGGGATCGTTCATGTCTTTGATTTGCCTTGACGGATGATTTAGGAAATATTTGGGGCCTGATTTGGCTTAATAATGGCGGGAGAGATCGGGGAACCGTATAGCATTAGCTTTCAGGTGCGCCTTTGTTCAATGACCTATCTGTAAATTCACTTTGTATATCTTCACTTTGTACATGATAAATAGTGTTAGATCCTTTTTTGGACTTTGGTCGTGGTAAGTTTGTTCTTTCTGTTTTCACGGCTTATTTATAATTTTATATACTGGTCAAGTGGTAATCTTGTTATTAAATAATAGTAAAGGTGGTATAAGTTCATCAAATATATTAACACTATATGCCGCCGAGGTGCATAATATCACTATTTACTATTTATTTACCCCATACAAGAGAGTTTCTGATTTGTAACGTGATCTGTTTGTGCCAAAACAGTTCTCTGCTCTGTTCGTATATAATTCTGCTTTCTCAGTCAACCTTAACGAGTGGTTCTTACTTTTGTACACTCTTCAGCCAATAGTGACATCAATCAACTATTTACAAGTGCATCATGTTCCTTTAGTCTTTTTCTCTTTTTGTTTCCTTTCAGCCAGTGTTATGGACTAAAATAATGATGTTATGGTTGAATGCTTCTCCTGATAGTTCGCTTTCTTACTGTACTTATAACTGGAAAGTTGCTTTGTAGATAGGAAAAAACTCTCTCCCCCCCACCATGATTTTGTATATGTATGACCTTTCTGTTACTAGCCTGTCAATAGTAACAGTATATGTACGGATCTCTGTTGCTTGGATTTAGTTGACATGGGATTATGTGACGAAAAAGAAAACTATGCTTCAATTTTTTTTCTTGAAATTCTGAAAAGATTATAGAACTTCGTGACAAATTGTAGTCACTTTTAGTTATGCAGCTAATAGCCATTGCAGAAGGATGATAAAATGCTAAACAGATGTTACGGAATTTTAATTTTATTTCCCGCTCTAGGGATAGAACTTTTCAAACAAGTTCTGTTCGAAAATTCACTTCTTTAATCTGGGCAGGCAGATTCTTTGCATTCTGGTTCTATATCCTTTGGAAGATTTGAAAATGAAGCTTTATGTTGGGAGAAGAGGTCATCTTTTTCACACAATAGGTATCTTGAAGAGGTTGAGAAATGCTCTAGACCGGGGTCAGTTATTGAGAAAAAGGCTTATTTTGAGGCTCATTTCAAGAGGAAGGCTCTTCTTCGTCAAGGTTTAGCAGAAGATCAAACCGGTAGAGAACACAAAATTACTGGAGATAATCTTGTCAAGAATGAGGGTTGGGGAGATGAAGCGGATACTGCAAATGAAGGTTGTAGATATCATCAATTCAATGCGAATATCTTAGAGAATGTTGGTCATGGAGAAGATTTTGATTTTGGAAATGAAGCAAACAAAGTTGATCTGGGTAATGAAGTGAGTCTAATTGATGATGATGCAAGTGAATATGATCATTATACTTATGATGAGGAAAGTGCTGAACGCTCAGATTATCAGGAAGAATCTTTAGTATCAGAATCTGAAAAAGAACATGGAGTTTTATTTGTTAAATGTAACATGGAAGTTGCTTTGGCCAATAATGATGTTTTACTGGACAGTGTTGTTCCTCAAGATGTTATCTCTGAGGAAAGGCATCAAAGTGAAAGTGGGTCGAACCAATTACATGTGGACAATGATGAACAAGTGGTAGAAGTGAAAGAGGACTCAAATGATTGTGCAGTTAATGTGTATGATCCTCTCCCCATGGATGTAACAGTCAAGAAAGGTAACACAGTGAGTTCAGAGGTAAATCTGTCTCCAAAGGTGAGGTTTTGTATTTAATTCATTTTTTAGAAGTTTTGGATTTCAATAATCCCTTGATGAGAATTATAAATAGTTAACATATTGTAGTTAGCCTTATACAATTGAGAAACGGAATGCAATTGCATGCCCATTCAGTTAATGTTCGGCTTCTGTGTAGGGGTAAAAAGCTAAAGGAAAAATAAATTCTAACAAAATATATCTTTTTGATACAATCCTCCTGTGACAAAAATGCTAGCAAAACCACTGTGAAAGACAGTGGAAACAAAAAATGAAACCAAACAGGCATGGCGAATAGAACCTACTGCTAGTATTGATGTCTTATATGAAGTCTATGTGAAATTTACACATGCTGCTAGCGATACATTGTTTTTTTCTTATGGGGCAAACCTCTTTATTTTCAATTCTAGGTAAAGACTACAACCGAAAGGAAGTCTACCAGGTCCAGATTGAAGTCTCAGGGGAATGTTAGTCATGTCCAGAAAACCATTCCAAATGATGCTCCAAAAATTGCTGCAAAGAGTCAGACTGGAAAGGAAAAACAGAGTACAGGGAGAATAAAAATAGAAAAGCAGCCGTTACAAACTACGGTGAGAGCTGAACGTTCATCCAATGGATTTCAAAAAAAGGTGACAATTGGACTAGGATATAGAGTTGGAGTTTTGGAGACAAAATGGCAATTTTCAATTTGTAAATAATGATTATGTATCTTATGTATCTTATTTTTTTGTTAAAAATTGAATTTAGAGTTTTGATTAATTTTTTCTTTGGTGAAGTTTGCGGTGCAGGATTCTGAAAGTTGCAATGCAAAATCAGATTTTGAGAATAGAAGGTACTATTTTTATTTTGACAGGCAGTACCTGCAAGTATTTTTAAGATGCCTCTCTTGTTAATATGGCAGTGAACAAGAACAAAGGGGAAAGAAAGCAGTTGAATCTCAACCTTCCTCAAAGAAGATAGAGTCCAGGGCACGTCTAACTAACAGCAGGTCTGTTTGCAAGAACATAAGGCTTCTGATTGTCAAATTTTTTACCTCCTGATTATCATGTATTGTTGGTTCCATGCAGGGTTAAGGAGGCTGTCAATTCATCTAAGCCAGAGAAAAAGACAGATGCTACTGCTTTCAATTTCAAAAGTGGGGAACGAGCTGAGAGGAGGAGAGAGGTCTGTAAGCCTGCTGCTTTTTAATTAAATTTGTCTTTGCTATCAGGTGTCAGAGTCTCATTATCTTGCTTAGTTCCTTTTTTAATTCTTCTTTTTCAGTTCTATATGAAGTTGGAAAAGAAAATGCATGCCAAAGAGGCTGAGATGAATAGGATCCAGGCACGGACCCAGGTATGAGTTGTCAGCCAACATTTACTTGTTCTTAATGTAAAGGAAATGAGTTGACATTTTCGCTGAGGACTGCCTAATGTGATGAAAAGGTGGCACTAATATCTTTCAGGCTAATTTTTGGCTTATGAACTTGATAAGGTTTTTTGTCAAATAGCTCTAAAAAGTAAGCTAATTTGATCGATGTTATTATATAATTTTTCTTTATAATTTATAAAGCTCATCCTCCAAGAGCTTTAGCTAAAAACATCCAATTAACACCAACCTCTTGGTTAAAATTTTTACCAAAATGTTGCATCTATATAATTAGACTTTGTCATAAACTCAATAATGTTGACTAGCCAGCACCATTATTCTAATGCAGGAGAAAACAGAGGCTGAGATCAAACAATTCAGAAAAAGCTTGAATTTTAAGGCAACACCGATGCCTTCTTTCTATCATGTTTCCGCACGACCAGGACCCCTTAACAAGAAGGTACACTTGACAGACTTTTATTTTTATTGGTTTGAAGGTTTTCTTTTCTCGGATTGACTGTATCTGAATATACCTTTATTCCCCTTAGAATATTTAGGTAAAGAGAGTCTTCATAGAAGTAATTTTTCCAGGCATGTGCAGCTGTAGTTAGATCCAACCGACCTGGATCTGGATCTGTCAAACATTTTTTTGTCAGCTATTATTCTTTTACTTTGGTATTTTTTAGCAATCCCACTTTTTATTTCTGTTGTCCAATTTTTCTCTTTTTGTTTTGTGTTTTACGTTGCTTTGCTGCTCATAATAAGATGTTTTGTGGATATTGTTTTTACAGTTCTTTTTTTGTACAATATGCAAATTTTTCAGAAACAAATTCATCTCTTCTTTATCCTTTTTCAGGCTGCATCATGTAACACTGGATCAACCAAGGGAGCAAGTGGAGCTGCTGCAAGCTCACAATTGCATTCCAAGACAGCAAGTAACCAAAATCCATCCAGCAAGGAACCTGCACTGAGAAATGATATATGTGAATCTTCAGGAGCATCTGATTGCCCAACAACTGAGCCTTCTGAAGCTGGTAATATTGTCTCTTCGATTCTCCCAAGTGATTATAGAAACTTCTGCCCAGAGGCTGAAATGAAAAGTGGTGCAATAGGCCGGAAACAGCGACAGGAGAAAGATTGTACTTTGCGAAGACCTAGAGTAACGGAGAGTTGTAAGGTGAGTAAAGAGCAGAGGGTCGAAAGGAAGACAAAGACTGGAGAAGTGCGGGGAAGA